TGAGCTGGGGTTTCCCATGTGGACTCGGCCTGCCAAGCAGCAGTGTCCAGCACAGGCTACTAAGCTTCTTGTGTTTTACATTATAGTGTACTAAATATATATTTGTTTTGCTGGTTTGTTTTTTCTTTTTTCTACATATATATATCAAACAATATGAGAACTGAATGTTTTGACAATAATTTTTAAAAGTCAAAGAACAATCATTATCCCCCACTGTGCAGTTTCAGTTGGCAGTTAATTCTTTACTAGCCCATACTGCCATGTAAGAGGGGGCTACCAGGGACCAGCAGTTAGCGTAATGGCTATGTCATTGGACTCCCACATAGTCGACCGCAGTTCACGTCCTGGACCCGGTGGCTTAAAACTCACGCCAGGAGTGTGTGTGTGCATGCCCAAGATCCCGAGAGAAGAATGGAGAAGGGATTGTGGCGTGGCCATGCCCCCTGGGGGGTGATTTCTCGCTTTCTATCTCTCTGTCTCTCTCTATCTCTCTGGCAAGCGCACGCACCCTATGGCAAAAACCTCTCCAAAAAAAAAAAAAAAAGAGGGGGCTACCTGTAATTGAACATATCTGTATCTGTCCATTCATCTATGTATCCAGAAATTAAAGACATTCATTTTACTGTAACTCAAATTTCATTAAAATGAACTTTAAAAAAAAAAGGGCTCAAAACTTGCCATGGAGCCTATTTAACATGGTCAGGTCAAATGCAGCTCAGAGGTACAAATGAGAGTGTAAACAGAGCAAGAGTAAAGGAGCTTTACGAAAAAACTTAAGAAAATTTACTTTATTTGATATCATTTTAATAATTCATGCTATGTACTTATAAAATGACCCTTTAAAATATGACCAAAATGCATTATGTAATAAGCACACGTATGAACCATATGCTCTATGAGAAAAGCAAATATTAAATAATAATGTACTTACTCTTAGCCACTCTACCATATTTTCTTCAATTTCACTATCAGCAGAGATGTCTAATATAAGACGTCGTGTCAAATGAGCTTTGTGATACCTCATAAAAACATCTTTGTTTTGCACATACTTAAGTACCAAGAGCTGTATGGGAAACAAAGTTACTTTCAATTCTTATGTACTCTAAGCCATTCCCTCTCACTTTTCTAAAGACCTTTCTATATTCCCCAAATGTCGAAATTCAGAAATTTATATACGCATATACATATGGAGGCCTACTAAATTACCAACCTCTAAAAAATAACCAGTATTGATAGGCTACCATTTAACTAAAAAAATTTTTTCTTAGGTTGTTGCCATAGGGCATGTGTGCTCACTGGAGAGGAAAGAGACAGAGAGAGTGAAAATGAGAAATCACTCCCCAGGAGGGAGGCCAATGCTGCGAACCTTTCTCCACTCTCCTCTAGGATTTTGGGCATGCACTCATGCACACCTGGTGTAATTTTCAAACCACAGGATGCAGGACTAGAAGCGCAGTCGGTCACGTGGGAATCTGACCACCTTAACCACCACACCATCTGGGGGCCAACTGCAGTTCAAATCCTGGTGCCAGTGGCTTGAAAGTTATGCCAGGCACATGCATGAGTGCCCAAAATTCTGACAGGATCAGGAAATAGAGAAGAGACTGCAGCATGACCATGTCCCATTACGTGGGTGCTTTCTCTGCCTCTTTTTCTGGCAAGCACACATGGCTTCTGGCAATTAAAAAAAAATTCCCAATCTCTCAACTGTTATTACAAATATATCAGCTTCACTTGTGCTTTCTTTGTCCTTTAAAGAACGAGAATCTAGGGTCCAGCAGGTAGCATCGTGGATAAAGCACTGGATTCCCACATGGCCAACCAAGATTTGAGTTCTAGACCTGGTGACTTGCTTTCTCACTTTCCCTCTCTCTCTCTCTGAATCTCTCTGGTCAAATTAAATAATAATAATAATAATAATAATAATAA